ACATCAACAAATAATAGAAGATCAAAATTCTCAATGAAAATTCCTAATAAGTCTGAGCAAGGTGTAGAGACATTCGTGTTATTACCCTGTTTGTGGTTGGGTCCTGAGAGTCACAGGAGTCACAGTGATACAGCAGTGAGACAGAGAGTACACAGAAAGCCTTCAGAGTAATAGGATGACTGAAAGTGTTACACATCCTCAGTCAGTAGCAAAGTCTGTGCTTCATAAGAAAACGTAATTACAAACAAGCAGTCTAGAACTAATTCAGTGGAAGTATCCGTGAATTTTGCATGGTTTATATTGCTCTAAGACAAGGCCTTTGTGACTATATTGAGGATGAAACTATTTGTAGGGAACAAAAATTTGATAGTTCCCATGATGTTGAGTTAAAAATCCTGAGGTTTGTCCAGAATACTCAAGCAAAAACAGAAAAGTTTTGAGGCTTGTTGTCTGTAGGTTGGGATGCCAAGGGAAGGAGGTTATTGAAGACCATTCTTCAGGTGATAGACTTGCACAAAGCAATATTTGGGTTCCTAGGAGACAGCAGCTTTTACTTCCATTGCTAGTAATGTCTGATTAGTTCTAGAAATCCTTCCAAGTGTAGTGTTCTGAAAGTCTAGAGTAACTTTGGATAACTTTTAGTTTATTTGAAAGAACGTTCCCCCTCCTTGATAGGCATGGTCTATATAATGGACTATGATTTGGTAAAATTATAACTTGTATTTTTAAAAATTCTGTGTTCATTTTATGCCATGGAATTAGATAAATGGAATTAGATAAATGGAATCCTTTTATAGGTGTCTCCGAACAACAGAAGAGATCATGCACCTATTAAATCAGAATTGATTCACAAGGGAAATTTATATCTTCCAGTTCTTGAATAAAAGGCCCAGAAAAAATAGGAAAGGATCACAGTGAACTCCTGGGGCTTAACTAGCCATAATAAATAATGTTGCATTCTCAGATGAAGGCAAAAACAAACAGATGAAAACACCAAAAAAATATTGACTGGTCAACATTAGGGGACCTCTTGGAAAAGCAAAACAGCAATCCATTACAACAAAGCCAGGGGTTCATGGAGGAATTGGTGACAGAATAGTATCTAGTGTGAGTGCTAATGGAAACAGTAGAGTAGAAGTTCTGTTTGTGTCCCTGAGTTCCTGAAGAAATCAACCTCTGTGTCTGTCTGATCCTACTGACAGGACAAGAATGTTACATGGCCATGGTTTAGTGCAGATTATAAAATGGCTTTTGTATGTAAGATTCTCAGGTGTAAGTTTGAGGCCTTCCTTTGCTCTGGCTTCGGGGGATATTGGGGAAGTTTGAGTAACAATCTGATGGAATGTCTAGATTTCATAAATTCTACTTTAATTCTTTTGCTTCTGCCAAGGGGAATATTAGCCTATAGTGTCAGATACAATGTCAGAATCTTTATTTAGAGGCCATGTCAAGTGCAGTGGAGGAAATAAAGATCCATAAATAATAGATACAACTTTAAGAAACTCCAGGAGCTATTTCTTCTGGTATGATGTTAGTAGTACAGTTCCATTTACATATCTCTTCCTATTAAACTCGTAGAAATCATGCCACAGAGCAAGAAGGAATGTTTTCCTAAAGAGGGTGAAAGGTTTGCTTATCTCTCAGGGTTGAGAGATAGGGGAAAATCTGTGATTATCTGAAATAGCTACCACACCTGTATTGTGTTTAGTCCAAAGAGGAATTGGAACAAAGATGGCAGGATTTAATGCAGAAAGATAAGTGTTGTTAGAAGGTATTTTCCCATATATCCAAAAACCTCCTGCAGTTATATCATCTTTACCTGTTTGTATAATTAGTCCAAAATTACTAGAAGTATCTCAGTATGCTATATTTGTTACTAACACACTTGCCCAATGGACCGTATTTTACCTTTAAGCTACTGAATTCGCATTCATACAATAAGTTACTCGTGCAGCACTTTAAATTTTTTATACTTAAGTTGCAAACTTTCCCCCTTTTATCCTTAAACAACTTTGTGATACTTAGACGTTAATTACTTAAAGTCACTCAGTGGATTTGGGCTGAAATCAGGGTTAAATTTTTATACAAAGTAATCTAGAAAAACATTTGAGTATAGTTCAGATTGTCTGGTATTGCTATCGCCTTTAGTGGCTTTAAAATGAGCATTTGGGGTTTCATGTTCTGAGAAAGAATCTGCACCAATTTCTTCCAAGTTCTTTGTAAAGTTAAAATAAAATCATGAAGGGCAATGACTCCCTTCAAATACCTACAAGGCTCTCATGTGGAAGACGGATTAGGTTTATTCCTGTGACTTCAGACGGCAGGATTAATATAAGTGAGTGGAAGAGGCAAATTTCAACTAAGAATGCAAAACATCTTTTTTTTTAAAAAAAGATTTTTAAATTTTTATTGCAAAGTCAGATATACAGAGAGGAGGAGAGACAGAGAGGAAGATCTTCTGTCCGATGGTTCACTCTCCAAGTGACCACAACAGCTGGAGCTGAGCCAATCCGAAGCCAGGAGCCAGGAACTCTTCCAGCTGTCTCATGCAAGTTCAGGGTCCCAAGGCTTTGGGCCATTCTTGACTGCTTTCCCAGGCCACAAGCAGGGAGCTGGATGGGAAGTGGGGCTGCTGGGATTAGAACCGGTGACCATATGGGATCCTGGCATGTGCAAGGCCAAGACCTTAAGCACTACGTTATCGCACCAGGCCCAAGACATCTTTTCTAATGATAAGGCCCTTGCTTCTGAAAGATTTGCCATGTAAAAGAGCCAGTTTGTCATAACACAGCAGGTTTAATAAGTAAGGCTGCCTTGAGGGGAGGGTACAGGGAAGGGGTGAGGGAATCCCAGAGTCTATGAAACTGTCATAAAATGAAATGTAATAAAAAAAAATTTATTGAAATCTGTTAAGTGATTAATAAAGCACTGATTTGTTCATTTCTTGTAAATGAACTGCTCTGGTTTACATTAAATTGCTGTGATGTAAAGACAAAAACAAAAAGTAAGCTTGCTTGATTCAATGGCTGAACCGAGCACGCCTGATAATCTCAAAAACCTTCATAAATTTATTAAATTTTCCTAGATTTTGAAAAGATGTATTTTCAATACAGTAGTTAAAAGTCACTGAAATTCTGGATGAAATCTGTGTTTCTCATAAGCAGTGTATTTTATTTTAAAATTTACTCATAGCTCTTTAAATTACTATTTCTCTTCAAACATCCACAAAGATCATGTTTTTAAAACATGAAAATTGGCCCCGCGGTGTGGCCTAGCGGCTAAAGTCCTCCTCTTGAATGCGCAGGTATCCCATATCCCGGCAGCTCTACTTCCTATCCAGCTCCCTGCTTGTGGCCTGGGAAAGCAGTCGAGGATGGCCCAAAGCTTTGGGACCCTGCACCCGCGTGGGAGACCCGGAAGAAGTTCCTAGATCCTGGCTTTGGATTGGCTCGGCATCGGCCATCGCGCTCACTTGGGGAGTGAATCATCGGATGGAAGATCTTCCTCTCTGTATATCTGACTTTCCAATAAATAAATAAATCTTTTTTTTAAAAAAAAAAAAGAAAGAATGAAAATTGTCCCAGTAAGTCAGAGTTTAATTCAAGCTTTCAGTGTTTTCTGAGGGCACAGTATACTTTATACTGAATATACTGCATTTATTTTTGATGTTCTAATATACTGTAGAAATTCAATGAAGTACACACTAAAACCTACCTTGTTTTAAATGGCAGCTACTAAAGTTTTAAATCTTGAATCTTTGCATTAGATCTGTTTCTTTGCTGGGGCTGGGTAGGGCCAAGGCTGGAGCCAGGAACTCAATCCAGGTATCTCCCATGGATGATAGAGACCCACCTACCTGAGCCATCACCACTGCCTAGAGGGTCTGCATCGGCAGGAGGAGCCAGAATACAAAACCAGGCTCTCTGAGCTGGGATTATAGCCATAACCACCAAGCTGAAGGCTTGCCCATGGGGCTTCTTTTTAAATGTTCCTAGGAGGTGAGCACACTTAAATTCTTTTCTAATTTGCAAATGGCTTAATGCTGAAAAAGAGCAGTGAGTCTTAATGCCAGGACTTCCGAGGGATCCCTTTATCGCTCCACTCCTTATCTGCCTCCTTATGTTAAAGCTCTTGAAATCCAGGCCCCTTATTTTTGCTAGAAGGATATTTTGTTTTTAAGATGGGCCAGGGTCCCAGAATGTAGGAATCGTTGCAGAGGAAAAGGGTGGGGTGAAACGCCTTCTGTGGGTATCTCAAGGGAGCTGATCTCCCAGGAGCTGACTTCCAGGAGCAGAATCAGGTGCTGCGGAAAACAGGCCTCTTTACCGTGCCTTTTATATATATATGACTGTACATATTTACATACAGACACATATGGCAAGAGAGTGAGAAAGCGATGAAGTGGGGATCTTCTTGGAGAACAGAAGGTAACAAGGAAATGAAAGCAGTGTCTGAGAAGGGATTCCACTTAGAAGAGGGACAACAGAGTTAGGGGTGGCTGGGTGTGCACGCTTCTTCCCAAGCTTGTTACAAGGTGGCAACCTGGAAAAGCGGACTGGTACACCTGGCATGGGGATGGCTCTCTGGCTTTCTTTTCTTCACCTGCAGACTGGTCGCACTTTAATTTCCAACAGACTGCATTTCCTTCTCGATGGCCCACGGGGCTGATTATTCTAGACTTTTGGAGATTTCCTGTCTCCAGTGTCTTTTTCGTTGCTGCTGCTGTTTAGGGTGAGAGAGAGAGCAAATCGGTGGAAATTCAGGGTGGGTAAGTGGGGAGCGGCGGGGGGAAGTTCTTGGCGATGAGCAAGAGGGGACTTAGAAGCAGAAGGAGAAAACAGCAACCCTCGCCCCCACCTCCCCATCTCTTACTCTCCACCCCTGACCTCCCGCGGAGACCCCAGGCTGCAGCATCAATATTTGATTGGCCCTTTGCCAGCGTGCTGCCAGCACCCCCGGCCGGCAGAGCTCACCAGGCATCGCCAGCGCTGCGCTGAAACCCCGTCTAGCCCAGCGCCGGGCTTTGGGAGAACCGCCTCTGGGCTCGCCCATTGCCAAGGGTGGCTGTGCTTTGGGGCCCGGGCGGGTGCACGGCGCCCATCATGCGTGGCTGCCCGCGGCTCGCGCTGCTCTGCGTTCTGTCCTGGCTCCTGAGGGCGGCCGGGAAGCCCCCCGCATCGGCCCCCACGCCACGCCGTGCGGACCGCGACCCTGCCAGGGGCGCGGACTTCGATCACGTCTACAGTGGCGTGGTGAGCCTCAGCATCGAGAACATCTACTCCTTCAACTACACCAGCCAGCCCGGCCAGGTAAGACGCGCGCCGTGCCTGTAGCATTCACAGAACTTGGCACATTGTGGAGCTCTGTCGCTGCTTTGGGTTTCCCTGGGAATCGATCTCTGGGCACCTTAGGCACCCAGGGACTCGCGTTCTCATTCCCCTACGTGGCACCTCGCGCTTTCCCCGGCCTGGGTGGCGGGTATTTTTCTGGGTGGTGCAGAGGCGCTGCTTCCCTGTTGGCTCTGCGTGTCCTGGCTTCCCTTGGTGAGCCTCTTGCCCAGGAAAAGTGGGGATTTCTAGGTGGGGGGAGGACGCACCTGTGCTACTGTCCTGCAGGAGAGGAACCTTCTTCCGCCTAGGGGGATCCTTCTGCCTTGCAGCCATCTGGGGAGGAAGCTGCTCAGAATTTAACAGGGAAATCGTGTGAGAATGGACCGAAGCTGCGGAACCTGTGTGAATTCGAGTCACTTCCTGCGTTTATGTGCCATTGTCACACGGTAGGGCTTGAAAGAGCCAGAAGACCTGATCAGAGATGTGGGGACTCAACCGTCAGTTGCTGTGTGGAGGTCTGGGATGTTAAATAAGGATGGGTAATGATGTGGAAGTTCTAGATCTGTTTCTGACAAGCCAAGGGGAGAAAAGGTTCAGTAAGTATGCCTTTGACATATTGACTATGCCTCATTATATAATGTTAAAAATGCATACAGCCTTTTTCCTTCTTCAATATGATGACGTTTGGGTCATGGGAAATAAAGAAAGCGCCCCAGGGTACCTACAGCGGGAACTTATGTTAATGTGTCCACGTGTGGCTTGTGATGGCTGCATCCCTCTGTGAGCTCTAGACGCAGATATTCCTTACCGCCCTCTACCTTCATCTGATTCCCACGAAGGAGCACAACTAGAAAAACCTCACAGCCTCAGATGCTTGAAGAGGCTTGCATACAGCAGTGAGGGCCCAAGTCCCTATCACTACTCCCCCAGCCGACATCCCCCCCCCAAGCACCCTGAGTGCCCATCTCCAGGCTGGGAGCAGTCACCATGGCAGCACAGCCCTCCCTGCCTGTCCTCCCATAACCTTAAGTTCATCCCCTGGAGAGCAGGGAAGCTGCAGGCTGTGCTGGCCTGCAGTACAAAAGCGGCAAGGGCAGTATTTTTTGTTTTGTTTTCCCCAAGCCCCGCACCAACAGTCTCTTCCTACCCAGTCCCAGTTAGCAGCTGTTTGACATATTGCATCTAAGTTTTGTGCATAGCCCTGTGATTGGCTGGGGAACACAGGAAACTCTGGAAAACGCGGAGAGCTCTGTGGGTTAGTATCAGTTTGCCCCTACATCATTGGCAAGGAAGCCTCAAGAAACCCCTGGCATCAGGTGTTAGTATTCTTGCAGTTCGGCTTGGCAGTAAGCTGGTTGCTTGTTAAATGTGTTTTGCCTTTTCTTGGTTAATCTGTGAGTTGCTGGGCCAGTGGGTACACTATTTTCAACAGAGGTCCCTGTGCTACTTTCCTGGTAAACCTCAGGTGGGGCACAGTCAGGTCCTCCCCAATGCACCATGTGGCATTTTATGAGACTTATAAATGTTTCTGTAAAATGAACAATTAAGTGAAGAAACATCAAAGACTATCTGAAATTCAACATAAACACAATTGCTTTTTTTATTTTAATAGATGAAGGCATAACCATTTTTCATCCAAAAATTTTCAAAAAAATGAAAAAAATTCTGTTATGCCCTTTCCATTTTGCCTGTATATATATTTAAATGATCTTCATTTCATGAAAAAAGTGATCATTTAAAAATATCTTTACATAACACAATAAGAAATTGACAGCCTCAAACAGTTTCTAGGATTTTCATCAAAATGTTGCTATTTTGAAGGGTGGCTGTTTGGCCTAGTGGTTAAGAGGCAGGTTAGGACATCTGGCGTCCAGTATCAGGTCCAGTATCAGAGTGCCTGGTCCAGCTCCCCTCTGTGGCTCCCGCTTCCAGCTTTCTGTCCATGCAGCACATGGGAGGCAGCTGTGATCGCTCAAGAAATTGGGTTCTTGTCACTCATATGGGAGTTCTAGGTTGGGAGGCAGCTGGGAAGTGACCCCACAGGTGGGATTTCTCTCTTGTGTAAGCTGTGTCATTTTTGTGTAAAATTGTTACTCTTTGCCTCAAATAAATGTAAAAAAAAAAAAAATGTCTGAGAAATACAAAGTATGGAACCATGGAACTAGCAAATAACAAGTAGTCCAATTATTCTAATGCCGGGGTACACATGTAAAAATCAGATGCGCTCAACTCCTATAGCCTTCTAGGATACGTCTTAAACAGGCAAATTGTGGAACCCTGGAAAATATTTTCCTCTCTCTCCAATCAATTTTCCCGGTTGCTTTCTCCCAAGATAGCACCTTTCTGGTCTGTCCAAACCATTATTCTCAGTGTCTGTTGATAGCCTCCTCTCTTCTTGATCTTTCTCATCCTCTTTTGGATACTAAAGCCCCTCTTCCACTGACATGAACACAAAGCTGAAGGTTTGTAGTAAAGAGGAGATCACAGCAGAGGCTAAGTGGTAGGTCACCAAGCAATACTCTCGTAATGATAAGCCAGTTATCCTTCACTACAGGCATTTCAAAGCGGTGCTCTCTTCAAGGCTGTGGCTTATCCCCCACTTGCTTGGAGACTCCCTGATTCCTGTCCCCAAATGCTGGTATCTATCCCTCTCATTTTTTTTAATTGTTTATGTTGAGCCTTTCTTGCCTCCACTGCTGATCCTGAGCCTTCTCCAAGGGACTATGCCAAGTAAAGTTCTGTAGTCTTGAACTATTCAGAGCAGAAGTCAGCCAGGATGCATTTTCCTGTAACCTAAGTCAGGTCTTGGTCAGGCATGGCTCCCTCGCTTATCATTGTCATTTCTCACCACGCCTCTTCAGAGACACAAATATTTTAGGTTGTTGGTGGTGGTAGGGAAATGTCTGGTGTTTTGAGCTTTAATCTTTCTCTTTCTTCCTCTTCATCACTGTGGTTCGCTGTCATTTTTCCTTTGCCTTGGAAGAGAAAAGTCCAACCTGTGAGGTTTTAGTGAACACTGTGCTGGTAATCTGTCATGTTGTCATTGCTTCTCCCCAAGAACTGTTTCACCAAGCTAGTCCCACACTAAGCTCTCTGAACTCAGCACCAGGAAAAGTCTCGCATGCCTTCCAGGCAAAGAACAACATAATATGAACTTGTCACTTCAAGAAACTGCTTAAAGAATGGAATGACTGGATTAAAGAAGAATAAAAGTAGTTATGGAAGGTAAAAATTAATCCAGATCATGGTGCATTTCATTTTTCTAGAAGGAAAGTATCTGGGGAGTTCTTTTAAGGGAAGTAAAGTTATACTACACAAACAGGATGTTCTATAACCACAGAACCAAGCCTAACTGGAAAGAAATCACCTTGTTGAAAAGTTAGCAAGGCTATGATTATCCCAGATCGCAGGCAGAATGCAGGGTTGCTGGGTAATGAAGGTGCCATTGTGGAAACATGTGGTGGCAGCAAGCAGGTGTTTCTATTTGAACTGGATGGTGGTAGAAGCCCCTTTAGAAAAACTCTAACCCCTATGCAATAGGCTGGCTTATCTGAGCTATACGGTAATAGAATGCAGTGTTTTTTTACACTAAGGTATTTATCTTTTAGTGACATTTGATTCCATACCCAAGAAACGGTCCCAGGCTTTATTAATTTTAATCAGTGGTTGTATAACTGAAACCAGTTACATCAGTCTCTTGGATTTTGATTCAAAAAAACCTATCTAGTCTTCATGAACAATGAAATACATATTTGGACCCTCCAGTGGTAACTTCCAACTCTTGAACAGTCAGCTCTGGGTATCTGTGGGTTTCCTGCTAAAGGATTCAACCAACCTGATTCCCTTCAAAGGCTCATTCTCTCTCTCACTTTTTTAAGATTTGTATTTATTTTTATTGTAAAGTCAGATATACAGAGAGGAGGAGAGACAGAGAGGAAGATCTTCCGTCCGCTGATTCATTCCCCAAGCTGCTACGATGGCCAGAGCTACCCCAATCCAAACTCAGGGATCAGGAGCCTCTTCTGGGTCTCATGTGGGTCCAGGGTCCCAAGGCCTGGAGCTGTCCTCCACTGCTTTCCCAGAACACAAGCAGAGAGTTGGATGGGAAGTGGGGTTGTCAGGATTAAAACTGGTGCCTAAGGCCTGGCGTGATAGTGTAGTGCTTAAGGTCCTGGCCTTGCACGCTCCAGGATCCCATATGGGCGCCGATTCTAATCCCTTTGGCCCCACTTCCCATCTAGCTCCCTGCTTGTGGCCTGGGAAAGCAGTCGAGGATGGCCCACAGCCTTGGGACCCTGCACTTGCACGGGACAGCTGGAAGAGCTCCGGACTCCTGGCTTTGGATTGGCTCAGCTCCGGCCATTGCGGTCACTTGGAGAGTGAATCATCAGATGGAAGATCTTTCTCTCTGTCTCTCCTCCTCTCTGTATATCTGCCTTTCCAATATAAAATAAATAAATCTTAAAAAAAAAAAATCTGGTGCCTATATGGGATCCCCATGATGCATGCCCATGCTTGGCTCCAAAGGCTCATTTTCAAAAGCCATTATATTAGGAGGTTTCAACATGCAGATTTTTGAAGAGATGAAGGCATTGAGTCCATAATAGTCACTGCCCATGTTTTGCCCTATGACTTTCAAAGCAGAGCATCAGTAGATCACAAGCTGTTTAGGGCTGATCTTACCCAAGTTACAGATCTAATATTGTGGGGGATCTACTCTGCCTACCCACCTGGTCATGAAGTATTAAATTGTATAATGGATTCTGTAAATCTGTTTAATCTGGGACCCACTAGCCTGTGTTTGGAGCACTTAAACTGTAACTGGTATGGATTTTTTTTTCAAATGTGAGTTTAAGTTTAGAAAACATACCAGATTTTGATGGTTACATGAGAAAACATAAAATGTAGTATTAATATTTTGTATTCATCTTTAAATGAGCCATTTTCAGAATTAGTAAATCAGTATTCATAAAATTAGC